GAACCTGGAGTCCCGGCGCTTCCAGGTGGTGGACGCCCGAGCCGCCGGCCGCGCCCAGGGCACCGAGCCGGAGCCCCGAGACGGTAACAGGGCTGGCCGTAGGGGCTGGGCGGGCCCCCGGGAGAGTGATCAGGGGCCCCCGGGGCAGTGCCCTTGCCTTTATAGGGCCCGCATGGGGTGGGGGCCCAAGATTTGGGTTCTAGTCACTCACTCTGGGAGCCCCACTGACTTTATTCCTCAACTGGGGACAGCGATGCTTGGGGCAGTGACTCCCCCAGGTTAGCTGGGAACCCAGGGTGTATATATGTGAGAACCCAAACAGCCTCCCCCCAATATTATGGATGTAGGGGCCACTGCAGAATAGGAGGGGCGGTGGTCAGGCTCAGTTTGGGAAAAGCCCCAAAGAAATGGGGCGTAGTCAGGTCTAGGCCATCTCTGAGGGTGATGGAGTTGGGGAAGAGGAGGCTGAGTCCCTGCCCCCAATATACACCCCCCTCCCCGCACAGGGCTGGCAGAGGGCAGGAGAGGGGGCACTAAATGGAGGTTGCTGCCCAGTTAGGGGCAGAAACTGAATAGAGGGTGGTTGCTGGCCTGGGTTGGAGCAGGGTCTTCTGGGTGGGGCTCCATTCTCCAGGCAAGGAACCTGCAGGGGAGCCCATATGAAGCAGGGAGGGGTCTCCACAGAGCAGGTGAGTCAGCGGCCCCTGGGTGTGAGCTTGTTCATGATCCCTCAAGGTGTCGGCTGTCACTGCAGAGCAGAGGAAATGGAGCCGGAGCTGGCGACCTGGCTGCAGGTGTCAGGAGGTGAACTCCTGGAGCTTGTAATTTAATGTCCGTGAGCTGCCATTAACTCCCCAGCCATCTCTCTTGTGCCTGCGCCAGGGAGGGGGTGAGGAACTTGCCACTTGCTCTGGGGCGATCTCCGAATGGCACCCCCAGGCCCTCGGATCAGGGGGTGGGGCTTCCCCGAGCCGCAGAGCAGCTTGGACTCACCCTGTCCCAGCAGAGTCTGGGATGGCCCGAGAGCAAGGACATCCTTGTCCCCGGTGCAGCCTGGAGCTCACCCGGTACCTGGCACAGAGTCAAGGTCTGAGAGTATTAAATTCAGAAGGTCCCTGCCACGTACAACCTGCAGAGCAGTGCTGACAATAAGTCAAACCATATAAACTGCTGATATCCAGCCATTGACAAACCCATGTAGGTGCAGCCTTGAAGAATGCCATCTTGACACTTGCTGGGTCCTTCAGCTCAGCCCCCGGGAGTGGAGGCGGGGATCGGGGAGTGAAGCAACGTCGGACAGCGAGCCAGGGCCAGACCTGGCCGTGTGACAGAGCCCGGCCCCGGATTGCACTGCAGGTCACCTCATCTCTGACCTGTAGTTTCTGCCTGTGTAAAGTGGTAGCAGAATGCGGAACTGCAAGGATGGGGTCAGGGTCAAGTGTCACATGGCAGCTCCGTGTTGGCAGACAGGGATGCACGCAGCAAACGGGAAGTGATATAGTTAACGTGCTTATCCGGTTGTGGCTCTTTACCGGGTGCTTCGCACTCACCTCAGTCATGCTTGCTCGTCCGTGAAACTGGAGATGAGGTACACCCGGCCAGCAGGCCTGTTGTCAAAGGTGACCCCGGCTGATAGGTGCTGAAGGTGTCAGGAAGCAGCCCAGCCAGGAGCCTGTACCTTTAACGTCAGTGAGCAGCGCAGCGCTAAACCCGTGCAGAATTTCCCTGTCCCCATCATTCCCGTTCCACGGCCCGAGACCCTGGCCAAGTGCACCCAGAATTGGCCACAAGTCCCGCAGGGAGGGGAAGCCTGCCTTGCTTGGTGGGATTCAAGGTGCGGGGACAGCACTGCTCTGACAGGAGCCAACCGGGGTCGGCAGCTGGCTGTGCTTCTCTGGGTCCGAGTTCGTCTCTACGTCATGTCTCTGACTGAGCCCAGTTTCTGCATCTGTTAGTGGAGATGCCTGGCCCGCTCCAACCTCACTAGGGGCCGCAGTGCCGGCTATCCATGTGGTCCTGAGAAGAGATCGTGGCTTGGGTCAGCAGCTCCCTGGAGCAGTGTCACTCCACTGCAGGGGGTAAACTGAGGCAGAAGCCACCCTAGAGTCCACGTGGCTGAGATTCGAGCCAGTGCCCGTTGCGGTTTATTTTGTTGCAAATCTCAGTGCTTGGTGTGAAAGTGGGAATATTAGTAACACCTGCCTCATAGCGGGTGGGGAGAACAAAATGACCAGTGGTGACAGTGAGCCGTGTGTTGGGCGCCCTGGGGAAGTTTTTGGAGATGTGGGTGCAGGAATGACTCCCTAAATGAATGGTCCTCTAGCCTTGCCCCTGTTCTTCCTGCTACAATCATGATCTTTTGGAAATGGGAGTCTGATCTCCCCCTGGCCGTCATGTCAGAGCTCTAAGACTTCAGCCAGGCCTGCTCAGATGTTCCCACCCGCCTCAGTTTCCCCTTGGGCCTCAGCCTCCCCACTGTCTGGGCTTTTGTCATGATGACCTTTAACCCCTCTAAGCACCATGCTATTCCCTGTCCCTAGGAGCGCTTCTCCGTGGAATTCCTTCTGTTCCCACAGCCCAGACTCCTCTACCTGGCTGAATCCTACCCACCCTTCAAGGACTTCTCAGAGAAGCTTTTCTGACCACCCCTCCCAGGCAGTGCTGCCTGGTGGTTAGTACACAGGCTCTGGGCCTCTGCCCCTACTAACTTGGGCAAGTTAGTCTGTATGCTTCAGTCTCCTCTTCTACACAAGAGAGGGTAGTAATTTCTTTCCCACAGAGTTTTGGGGAGGATTAAAGGAGCTGAGGGGCTCAGAACAGTGCTAGGCACAAAGTGAGCGTTCAGTGATGCCAGCTATTATCATATATATTTTTTAAATTAATCCTCTCATGAAAAACCTGCACAACCACCACAGGTAAAGTCACCGAAGAATCTTTATTCCTTCCTTTTGCCAGCGCCAACATTGGCCTTTGCAGTCTCCCTGACTTCCTTCATTCTGTTCTTGCCTTCCTTTCTCTGTTTTCTTGAGGTCTTCCTCCTCTCATAGAGGCCGTGTCTTGCAAGTCTGTGTTTGGGTTCGTTTTTCTCTGCGTAATCCAAGGAGTCATAAACCATGCCGAAGCCAGTGCTCTGGCCACTACCCAAGTGGGTTCTGATCCAAACACAAAGATGACGTCAGGTGTGGTTTTACACATTTTGGCTAGTTTTCCCCGAATTTTTGTCTTAGGTACTGTCGCCTCCCCAGGGTGAAGGACATCAATGACCATTTGCTTCCGCTGAAGTCGTCTGTCGGTCATGAACTTCCTGGTCCAGATAGTTACCGTGTCATTCATGATAACGGTTTATCCTAAAGCGGCCAGGGAGGAAAGAGCTGTTATCATCTTATCTGGTGTGCCCCACGCAGGAGGGCCTTTGGGCAGCATTCATCATACTTGTAGTTATTCAGCTATTGCTTGTCTGCTCAGCTGGATCAAAACTCCTTGGCTGCAGGTGCTCCCTGTCCTAGAGGCAGAGGTCTTGTTTAGCTCCATCGCCTTAGGGCACATAGTTGCCCCAGGGCGCACAGTCAGTCATCAGGAAACCTGGCGAGTGTGGCTCTGGAGGGCTCTGGGTCTTGGGTTCAGATCCCCGCCAGCAGTTTGCTGGAGGCACGACCTTGGGCAGCACTGAACCTCAGCATCTCCACCTGTGAAATGGGAATGCCCGTCAGTCGCACCTGGGTCTCCAGTTGTGTGGGCCACGTGAGGTGATGCCCATCGGGGAGTCAGCGCCATGGCCGCGTGGGGGATCTCAGTGCCGCAGAGGCCATTCACACCGCCCTTGTATCTGTTCCCTCCTGCTGCAGGCATCGAACCTGGCCACATCCCCGGCACCGTGAATATCCCCTTCACGGACTTCATGACCACGGAGGGCCTGGAGAAGACGCCCGAGGAGATCCGCCGCATGTTCCAGGACAAGAAGGTGGACCTGTCCCAGCCTCTGGTGGCCACGTGTGGCTCCGGCGTCACAGCCTGCCACGTGGCACTGGGGGCCTACCTCTGCGGCAAGCCCGACGTGGCCATCTACGACGGCTCCTGGGTGGAGTGGTACATGCGGGCCCAGCCCGAGGAGGTCATCTCCGAGGGCCGGGGGAAGACCCGCTGAGATGGGCGGGATGTGACACGGGAATCTCCGGTGACGCCGGCCACCAGCTGTGCCCAGCCTGCTTGTTCTCAAGCTGTTTTCACCAGAAAAGCATCTCTTCCTCCAACTCAGGCGGCGCAGGGGGTGACATCCCAGAGGCCAGGAGTTCTTTTGACTGGTGGGCTCCCAGGAGAGAAGGTGGAGGAGGTGGTGGTGGGTAGGGGGGAGGGGGGGGCGCCACCCACATGGTGCTGAGCTGGGCTCCACCTCCCTTCGGTTTCACTTTTGAGGAAATAAAACAGCCACGTGCTAAGTGCTTCTAACTCCGGGGCTGCCTCCGTTTCCCAAGGAGCAAGGTTGCCAGCACGCCCGGCAGAGGGAGCTCAGGGAGCCCGAGGGTCTTGGGAACCTGTCCCTGCCCCCGAGAGGTGCTGGGGCCAAGAGCCCTTTCACCCCTGTAGCCAAATGCCCCCAACAAACCGCCCTCCACCCCCTAATGCCGGGGCCCTCCCTTCCGGCTCCTACTCTATTTAAGGTGAATCCCGCCGTGAGATATCTGAGGTCCCACTCAGAGCCCCAGAGCTGAGCAGTGACTCTCATTTCCTGATAGAGAGGGGTCCAGAGGTGACCAGGAGGCCCGCCCCGGCCCCTCGGGATGCACTGGAGAACGGCTGAGTTTGGCTAAATTGGAGGAGAATCTAATTTTAGACTCTGGGCGTCCACACTTGGAGGCTAGTCTCTGGAGCTGCCAGGGGTGGGCAGACCCAGGGTCCATCCTTTCTGCCCACAGAGAACCTGGTCCCCGAGGCTTCCCCAGGGGAGCCACTCTGTCCTCCTCCCTCCGTCTGTCTTCTGTGCCCAGGTGGACAGAGGGGTTTGAGAAAGCCCCAAGGCTTCCCGTCAGAACCTGGGTCACCCTCCCCACCTACAAGCCCCCGAGGCACGGCAGTAGCAAAGGGCCAGTGTCAGCCAGGATCGGGGGGAACCCTAGAAGGAGGAAAAAAACACCAATGGGCAGTGACTTTCCCAAGGAGTCCCAACCTAACTGAGCCTCAGCTCCCACATCTGTGAGATGGGAATAATACGCGCTTCAGAAGAAGGGATTTCAGACAAGGAGTCCCGTCCTTCCAGCTCAGGGTTGCTCAGCCTCCACTCTATGACATTTGGGCCGGATCACCCTTGGTCCTGGGGCCGTCCTGGGTCCTATGGGATGTTGGGGAGCATTTCTGGCCTCTACCCACTAGATGTCAGTGGACCCACTCAGTTGTGACAACCAAAGCCATCTCCAGACATGCCCAGGTGAATCACTGCCGTAGGAGCAGAGGGCACAGCGGACCACAGCAGTCAGGGGCAGTGTAGACAGGGATCTCTGTGGAGGGAGCCCTTCCCCTGCAGATACAAGTCAGTAGCCAAGAAACCTTCCTTTTGTGCTGGTCGTAGACAAGCCTCATTTTCTCTCCCACGAGTGTCCCTGCCTCTTCAAGGAGCAAGGTTTGTCTGCAAACACATGTGAGGCTCTGATCTGGCTTCTGTCTGCGCTACCCCATGCAGAACTGCCCGACCATGGACACATTTCTGAGCCTTGATTTCTTCATCTTTAAAATGGGAGTAATAGTACCTTCTTAGAGCAACATGGGGATTGAATGAGAGAGCCATAGAAACTGGTGCGGGCACAGAGTAAACATGAACAGTTATTAGTTTTTAAAAGATGTTTACTTATTCAGCATGTTGAGTGCCTCCTAGACTCTGGCCCTGGGGGAGAGGAAGAGCAAGGCATGTAAGAACTGTGTTCCTGCCTGGGAAAGCTTCCCAGCCAGGGCGGAAAACAGGCCCATCTTGTCAAATTTCCGGAGAGAAGGGGGAAATGACCTCTTTCACAGGTCAGAAGGCAAGCTCAGAGAGGTTGAGTGATTTGCCCAAGGGCACACAGCTTGTTCAAGAGAGGAATTTCACTGGTTAAAATTCTCAGGGTAGGAGCCTCTCCAATGGGCCTTGCCTGCAGTGGTTTTCCAGATCTCAAGATCAGGGAGGAACGGAGTGTAACTTAGGGTTTGGAAACACGCGTGACACGCTCATGTATGATGGCCAAGTGTCTCCCCAGCTCCACGGGGAGACACCTTGAGATGTGGGATACAAGCAAGGGAGTTTGGTTAGGTCCTCCCCATCCCCCACCCCCACCCCAGCCCACCCCCGCAAGGTGTCCAGGCTGAGCCAGGGCATTTTCCCCCTGGAAGGTCCTCAATAGGTGTGGACAGGTTCCGAGGAGCAAAGCCCAGGAGGTAGGAGAAAGGAGGTGGAGCCGATCCTTCCAGGCTTCTCAGAACTTGGGTTTAACTTGATGAAGCCGGGGGCCCTGAGCTCCCCCTGCCTCTGGCAAGCCTGAACTCCCGGAATAATGAGCCACTCACCCCGGAGGCCTGGCCTCCCGTCTACCCAGTGCACCCCGTCTACCCAGTGCAACCCGTCTACCCAGTGCACCCCGTCTACCCAGTGCACCCCGTCTACCCAGTGCACCCTGCTACCCAGTGCACCGCAGGCAGGAAGTTGCAACACCAGATAACAGGAATGATGAAATTTTTGTCCACTGGGCAAATATTTGCTGAGCACCTGCTCTGTGTCGGACCGTTGGAAGTTTCCCAACCTCATCTAACCAGGTGTGCTGGAATACGGCCATTCCCTGGAGCGTTCCCTTGAGGGGTCATGGCCTGAGGAAGCCCCCGCCCCACACTGGCGTCCACTCCGCACAAGGCCCCAGGTCTGCCTCCTAGACCCTTCCGGTGGGGGCCTCGGTCGTCTCCTCTGAAACACGGGAGCACACTCAGCCCTGACGGGCACAGGGTGGGTGTGATGTCACAGAGGGTCAAGCTGAAAACAATGTAAGGTGCCACTCCTACTGGACTCCCCCAGCTATGGAAGCAGAGCGAGCTTCATCCTTACCTCCTGGCGAAGGGGTCATCTGCAGGAGAGGAAGTTTTCAGGTTAACTGACACTATCATTTTAAGCACCGGAATCTGTAACATATGAATGAAGCTGTGAGGGCGTGGAACACAGTATCCAGAGGCCGCCGGAACTCCACGGCTTTGTCTCAGCACTTTATGCACAGTGATGCCTTTGGGGACTGTTCGCCCTGAACCAATGGCTCCGACCCATGTGCCTTCCCAGGGCTCGTGTCCTTGCAACTGTCTCAGCTCAGCCCCGCTGACGCCCCGGGAGTCTCCACCTGCTCCTAGGTGGGCCTACCCTCTCTGGACGATGCCACCCATCCCAGTGGCTTAACCACTGTCTTGAGCTGGGGACTGGAGTCTGGGCCTGCAGCCTCTGGCTGGACTCAGATCCCTGTGTCCACTGCCTGCTCCTCAGCCCACGTTCCCTGGCTGCGTGCACGGCCACCACGCAGGGTCACCTGTGCCCAGACCTGGCAGCTCCCCAATACCCACCCCCCCTCCACCCCCGCCTTGTCCACAGCCAGTCAGCACTGAGATCTCTGGATTTCCACCTCTGTTCCCACTGCCTTGGTCCGGGTCCCCTGCCCATCCTGCCCCAGATGCTCACAGACACTGCCTGTCCCACCCCTCAATTTCAGTCCACCCTGAAGGACAGGCCTCGAGCCAGGATCTGCGGCAATGGAGGAGGAAGGCAGACCCTCGGGGAATCGGCCTGGTGAGGAGTGGCTGACAGACTGTGACAGGTGCAGTGAGGAGTATCTGAGACAGCCACACAGAACAAGACGGGGGCAGCCGGTGGCTCTGGGCCTCAGAGGCCCCTCTGCCCAGGGCTGACAGCCCCTTGAGGAATTCCTGGCCTGTGACTCCTCGCTCCATGTGAAGACACAGCAGGGGGACAGGGTTCAAAGCACAGCCCCTGGAGGCATCGGGCCTCCTGCTCCCCGGCTCTGGGTGTGGGCAGGTGCTCGACTTCCTCATCTGTGCCGTGGGGACAATCAGTACCTGCCTCCTAGAATCAGATTCATACAAAGCACTGAGTACAAAGCCCGGCATGGTAACAATGAATTGTTACTGTGACGAATGTCCTGTCCTCCCACTCCTGCCCCCTGTGCCGGCCCGAATGCCCTCGTGGGTAACATCGTATTCATGGTTCCCCTCCTGGCCTCAGCTGAGGGACATATTAATAGTAACAGATTATAACCCATAGAATCCAATAGTCCATTCTGATATAAATGAATGAATGAATGAATGAATAAGAAGGAAATATCTCCCTTAGAATAGAACGCCACCTAATAAATGCAGAAGGGATGTTGGAAATAGAAAAATCACAATTTGGCAATCTGCATAGTCATAATTTTTGTAGCAAGAATCATCAACGCATACTAAAATGATTGAGATAAATAAGTCTGGTGGAAAACAGGATGTTTTTGCAACTTTTCTCTAAGCCTGAAATTACTTCAAAACAAAAATGCTATATTTAAACACAGGCTCTTCTGACTCAGTTTCAGCCAGGGCTGCTAACTGCACCCACGTTCTAAAACAAGGTGCCGGGCCGTCGGAAGTAGTTCTTTCAGCCACGGTGGTGAAGATCTAGTTTAGAAACTTAGGAGACCACACACCTCCTGCCTACGGCAGAGACGTGAGCGAGGCGAGGAGGAGCAGCTGGGCAGCGGACAAGGCTTTCTCTAGCAGCAGGGTTGGGTGCTGTGGCACGCTACCTCTCCTGCCTTGTGGGGGGCCGGGGGGGGTGCCTCCCTCCTCTGCAGACTGAGTGAGAGTGTTAGGGGCAAAAATAAAATATTGGGGACTAGCTATGGTTATGGGAAATATTAAAGAAAGGACATTCTGACCTGGCTGGGAGTTGTACACCCCCGGGACCTGGGAGTCAACCTTGGAATGTGGCCATTCTCATCCAAGAACTGCCTATTATCATGGAAGGATGAACACCCTTGTTGCCCAAACAATGGAGTCCACCAGCCTCCTATTTCCCCATGCCTGTAATCCCTACTTCTCCATGTAATCCTTGTCCTACCCAATCTAAGTAGCTGGCTTATGGGGGGCTGCAGAGCAGATGTTTGTGGGTGACCTGCTGCTCTCCCATGCCGCCAGCAGTATTGGGATAAATGTTCATATCTGATTCAACCCTGTCTCTGCTTAATTGGCAGCACGGACCCAGCGATTGTCCGGTTATAAGAGGGGTTTCAAGGAGGTCGTTTGTGGGGCTAGACCTGTGTGTCCTGGATTCTGGGGCCTCATGGGCTGGGAAAGAGATCAACCACAAAAATGCTTGGTGCAGACTCTCCGGCAGCAGGGTGGGGGTTCAAGAGGCCCAGGGGGACGGGTAGTGGAATCCTGGTTCTGTGTGACTCCTGTTTCAAGCTGTGGGATGACAGCGGCGGGAGCCAGAGGGACGCTTGCATGGAATAGCGGGGTCCCTGGAGGAGGCTGGTTAGAGCTATTATCATTCCCAACTTAGAAATGAAGTTCAGGGAGGTTAAGCCACAAAGTCTGGGCTGGCATCCTTTGTCCCGGAAGCACCTCTCTCTCCGCTTACTTTCAAGCCGAATTCAGAGCCATATTAAAGAGCATCTGCTCTTCCCAGAAGGGGGCAGCAGGGGGCAGTGTAACCAGCGGAAGCTTGGCTCTCCTCCAGGATAGCCATTGCCCCAGAAAGCATCTAAGGAATGTTTGCCTTTATCCTCTAAATGGGGAAGAACAGCGAACAGCTCTGAAGAATGTCCCTGTGTGCTTACAAACAGGACTGTCTGGGATTCTGAGTTTTGTCCAAGCCGCTTGCACCCACCGCCCTAAACAGAGCCCACCCCCCAGACCAGGGGCCATCTGTGTCTCAGTGTCTGGCACGTAACTGCTGCTCAACAAATATGATGGCACTGCACGATGGCTGCTGGGAGAAAGGGCTCAGGACTCCTTTTCCAGCAGTGGGTGTGCCCCACCCCCCAATCCCTGCCACCTAAACATGGCTTCCTCCAGACAAAACACAGCCACAGGCAAGGATGAGGTGGCACCTGTCGGCTCTATTTAACCACCTTGGGTCCTGCCGCCTGGTTCTTAGCCGAGACCCTCATGGGTGAGGTTGCTGCTTCGGGTGGGAATATTTTAGATACTTGCCGAGGGGACACTGGTGTCCAGGAATTGGGGTGGGGGGGGCCCTCTGAGAAAGGAGGGGGTGAGACTGGCTCAGTAAAGCTCCCCCCTCTGCTTTGAAACCAGCCTCCACGGACACCTCCTGGGCCACCGTCCACAGGGCAGCTCCTGTGTCGGGTGGCAATGAGCCCTGGCACTGGGCTCCGCCCCAGGATGATCTAAGTTGCAAATCTGACCAGGTCACTCCCTGCCGACAACACTTGAAGTTGATTTTAAAAAGCATTTCCTGCTCTAGCTCTGTTGCAGCTGAGAGCGGTGGGGGCTCACCGAGTGCGGGGAGCGCTGCTGGTCTTTCGAGACCCGTTTGTACCCGCTTCACTCACTCATTCGTTGGTCCATCCAGTCAATGGACTAAAACCAGGGACTGTGCCAGGTGCTTTACAGACACTTAACACTTTAATCTTCACAACCTTGCTCTGGGACTACTGTGATGCCCCGTTTCCAAAAGGGAAAGCGGGGGCTCAGAGAGGACCTGCGCTAGAGCACGCTGGTGAGTCCGTGGGAAACAGCCCAGGAGCGGTGACCTGTCCCTGCCAAGAGGAAAGGCTCTAAGGCAGTGGTTCTCACCCTCGCTGCACGTTAGAACCACCTGGGAGTCTTCTTAGAATCCTGATTTCTGGGCCTCACCCTCCGGGAATTCTGTTTCTTTGTTACTCATGTTGTGGCCCCACCCCATAACAGAGAACCAGGTGGCAGGACCCAAGGCCCTTAAATAAAGCTGACAGATGCCACCTCATCCTTGCCTGTGGCTGGGTTTTGTCTGGAGGAAGCCATGTTTAGGTGGCAGACACACAGGGCCTGTGTGTGTGACACTGGGATCCATGAGGGAGCCTCCGTGCCCTCTGCCTTCGCCTAAGACCAGCTCTGCATCATGGAAAAGAACAGGAAGTTAAGGAGCACCGCTTCTGTGAATGTTCCCCCACCTCCCGCGTGGCTCAGGGTTCAGGATCTGGAGGAGGGGATGAACACAAATGAAACGAGACAAGAAATAATTTGGAAATATTGGGGGCCAGATGGGCAAGCCCAACTCAAGGGGAAGGACTTCCACTGGTGCCCAGGTCTCGCCAGCCTTTTATTCAATTTCGGATACACATCTAGCCCTTAGTCAGGCAGGTAATTGCGGTAACAGACAGACTATCTTAAAGGTCAGTAAATATTAGAAGGATTTACTCTGAGACTATTTGGTCAGGAAATAGCTTGAGCCCCCATTGTCAGGATTAGACAATCAGTGCATAGCTCTGGCCCTTGCCGTGGGTTCCAGGTTCACCAGCCTTCCGGGATCCTTGTTTGCACTTCTCTGCTAGTGAAGACAATGGGTGGCTTCCTGCACACTTCCTCTTCAGCCCTTGTGCCTCCCTGGTCCCAGGTGGCATGAGGAGCTGCCCCTCTGCCCTCATCCTGCTGCACCACAATGTCAGTCCCACCGCTGAGCTAACTGGCTCAGGAGGGGATCCACACAACCAACCCCTCCCCTTCCCTCTCCTCATACCTCATCCTACCAAAGTCAGGATGAAACCCAGCTCTCCAGGCTTTGATCCGGTGCCCTGTCCACTTTTCCTCCCTAGACATCTTGCCCAGGGAGTGCCCACAATCCCTGGCAGGGAAGCAGGAGAGGGGCCGTGCTGGTGGAAATGCACCTGGAAACCACGCGGGTTCGTGCCAGCCAGCCAGTCACCAGCAGTGAGTCAGGGAGGCCGCCTCACTGGAGCCCTCATCTGTATAATGGGCACAGTAATGACAGCCTCACAGGGCGGCTGAGAGCTTCCGTGAATAACATGAAGCACCTGAAATACAGTGGGAGCTCAATCAACCTTAAGCAGCGACCTATGAACCAGGAGGTCCCGGTTCAATTCTTGGTCAGGGCACATGCCCGGGTTGTGGGATGGATCCCCAGTAGGGGGTGTGCAGGAGGCAACCGATCAATGATTCTCTCTCATCATTGATGTTTCTATCTCTCTTCCTTCCTCTCTGAAATCAATGAAAATATGTTTTAAAAAACTCATGGGGAAAGAACCAGCTCCCCTCCCTTCCCCAATACCCACCCCGCCCCTCCCCAACACACAAACTCAAAGGCAAAATGAAAGAATATTAGTAAACCGATAATGGGGATTCTGGGAGGAACACATTTCTTCCCATATCTATCAGCTGTTTGATACCCACTGCGGACAAAGGAGAATCAATAATGTGGAGAACAAATGGGAGGATTGCTGATTTGGGGTTATCAGTCGTGACCCCTAACTTGATCTTTCCCCAAACCCACAATTATTTGGCCAAAGGGCTTCTTCAAGAGACCCGGTTTGTGGGTCTCCCAGGAAGGGCAAAGTAGGGCAGGGCTGGGGGAGAGCAGATTACTGGTATCGGGGACCCTCACCCCGGGCGCCCCAGCTCCGGGCGGCACGGACTACAGCTCCCGGCATGCCCCGCGCTCAGTGCCTACCCGCCTCCAGCCCTCAGGAGCCGGGAGGATGCAGAAGCCGCTGCCAGAAATGAGGATGGAGGCCGGGGAGGTAGATTTTAAGGCAAAAATAGTTACAAAAACATTTTATAGTAACAAAGTCATCAGTTCATTAGGAAGACATGTTAATTATAAACATAGGAGGAAGTGGGGAGTGTTCCCATTGCCTTGGAAACGCACCACGCCAGGCACCGGCCATTTGGAGCTCCTGAGAGCTGCCCTGGGCTCCCACCCCAGGAGGCGGTGGGTCCGAGCCGGCTTTCCCCACTCCTTGGAGATTTGGGGACAGGCAGACACGTAGGGCCTTCCGTCCTCCCCAAGCGGGACTTTCTCCCTGGGGAAGGCGTGCCGGCGGCTGCCTCTCCCTGCCTTTTGGGGAATGGGAGGCCTGGTGTGCGGGGAGCTGGGCTTCGTAGGGCAGCGGAGCTTGCCCGGCAGGCAGGCACCAGGTCTGGGGGTCCGTTCGCTCTGCTGTAAACTGCTGGCGTGACCGGAGTGGGACCCCTCCTGCGCCAGGCTCAGCCTCCTGTCTGGGGCGGGGACGCTGTTTGGAGACGACCTCTAAGGCCCCTTCCTCCCCCATCTCCTGGCCATCTGATGCTGTGACCCTGGGCAAGCCCCTCACCTCTGGATGCCCCTTTGTCTCTGTAGTCCTGCTGCTGCCCGCCTGCCTCCTGCAGGCTGAGGGAGTGCAGTGAGATAGTGGCTCCCCAGGAACGTGCAAACCCCCGAATGACTGGAGACAGTGTAGGGCTGGCTTCAGGGCAACAGCCTCCAAGAGGCACAATCACTGAGCCCTCCTTTGGGTTGGCTGCCACCGAGACCTCACTGGGTGCTCACAGTGACCCCTCGCTATGGGGGAGAGGAGTAAGGCTCAGAGAGGCCAAATCACTGGCCTAAGGCCACACAGCCAGGAAAAGGCTCCATCACGCTATCTCATTCCAGCGAAGTGCAGACTCTCCGCTCTCACTCCTTCCCTCCCCGCAACCCTTTACTGGACCTGAAGTGAGGGGTAGGCAGGGGGAGGCCTTATTCTTCTCCTGCCATAGCCTGTGCCCCTCACCTCTCTAGGATGAGACCGGAGCCTACCTCATTGACCGTGACCCCACCTACTTCGGGCCCATCCTGAACTTCCTCCGCCATGGCAAGCTGGTGCTGGACAAGGACATGGCCGAGGAGGGTGAGTTGGTCCAGGGGGCCGGCCGGGCCTGCTAGCCCTGCCCTCTGCAGCCGGCCAGGCCTTCTGTGGAGGTCAGAAGCCATGCCTCCCCGTCAGGAGTGACATCTGCTTTCCTCCGTGCTCTGCCTCTTCCCATTCGTGCCAGGGCTGAGTCCCAGGGGCTCTGCGGGGCTGACCAGCCTGAGCTCCCACTGGGTGCCACTGGGGAGGTGACAGGAATGCACAGGCAGAGGTCAGAGGGAGCCGGCGAGGCTGGCAGCCTTCCCTGTGGGCAGGGATGCCCTTTCTCCTGGTCGTCTGGGTGTGAACGGGCCGGAGCTGGACACGGTGATCCAGTATCTCCGATGCCTGGTGAGGGCTTGCAGTCAGCAGGTGGGTGGAGCGGGAAGCTCTGCCCCAAATTCGGCAACATCTGCAGCACAGCGTTGGCGGCGGGTGGAGGTGGGGAAGCCGTGCCTGGGGGGTGGCCTCTTGGCACAGTCAGTGCCACGTCAGCTCTTTGTCGGGCCACAGGGTGTGGCTCTGGGTCAGCTGACCCGGCCAGGCCAGCTTGGACATGTCACTTCTCCTTTCTGAGTCTCCACGTGTATATGAAGTGTACCTGGTGATCTGCACTGGTGAAAGCATGTTTTGCAACAGCTAATGCCATGCGTCCTGGTGCACGTAGCCTGTTGGTGTCTAGCACAGTCCACCCTCCTCCCTAGCGCGTCCCCAGTGGGCCAGGACTTCAAAATCAGACCCCCCCCTCCCCCCACACACACACACACACTGGCTCAGCAGTGCCCACAGCTTCCAGGCAGCCCCTCCTGGAGCAGGTACTGTGGGCGTGTCTTGGGCCCAGGAGCCACTCCGCGGGGGAGGGGAATAAACACTCCAGCTGCCACAGCCAACACCTGCTTACAGGTTCCGGTTTTCTCCCTGTTCGGCCACTCCCAGCGCCTTCAGACAGGGTGCGGGCCCCATGTGGGCGGCGGGGAATCGGGGCGGAGACTTCCCAGCCGTGTGACACCGGCAAAGTCACTTATCCTTTTGTGCCTTCGTGCCGCATCTGTGACCTGGGGTGACAGCAGCACCCACCTGGCTGAGCTGCTGCGAGGATGAAAGGAGCTAAAACAAGTGCATCACGCAGAGCAGCATCTGGCACCAGAGGACCAGTGACGCAATGTTAGCCGTCCGTCCTCCACAGGGCTCCACGCGGGCATGGATGCAGTGCCACTCACTGACCGCCTACTCTGTGTTCCGTGCTGTGTGGGCACTGGGGACAGCAGGGAGCCCAGAGGCCGGTCATGGACACAGTCGGAGGGGTCCCTGCCCTGAGGGGCTTAGGGGAGTCCAGAGGCCGGGAGCCATTCCACTCCACTGGAGGGGTGACCGCTTCGTCTCTAAGACTCAGTTCCCTTAACGGTATGGGGACGATAATGCTGGCTTCCCTGTGTCCCCGGGGCCGTGGTGAGCACAGGAGGGGCTTTGCAGACTGGGAAGTGGGGACGGGGACGCGCACATCGCCGTGACCATGCACTTACAGTGGGCTCTGATGTCCGGAGCTTGAGTGTGAATCTCGTCTCTGCCACCTAGGGGCTCTGGGGTCTTAGACAAGCTGCTTCTCTTCCTGGCTCTCAGATTCCCCATTGCTTCTGTGGGGCGATAGAAGTGCCTACTCCTAGTTCTGAGAACTAACCACAATAAAGCGTGGAAAATGCCGAGCCTAGCGCCTGGCACTGGGCATCGTGGACGGGGTCAGCCAGGGCCCCTCTCACTGTGGCATGCTACGGCCCAGTCCCAGCCAGCCTGCCGCCTCTTGACAGCCCAGAGCGGCCCCCGGATCAGGGGACTGGTAGGCACCCCTCGCTCACCAGGCTCGGCCCCGCAGAGATGCCGGCTGCTGAGCGGCAGTATCTCGCCCCTTCCACAGAGCGTGGGATGCAAGGAAGAAGATGTTCCCTCTTGCTTGACCCCTGAACTCAGGAGATGCTCGTCACCCTCGTGTGACTGGAGCAGGAGATAGGTGTGGAGGAGGAGGGGACACGGGAAGAATGGGAGCAGCGGGAGTGACCGGGGACGGCTTTGTCTGTGCCAGGGGTCCTGGAGGAAGCTGAGTTCTACAACATCGGCCCGCTGATTCGCATCATCAAGGACCGGATGGAGGAGAAGGACTACCCTGTCACACAGGTCAGGGAGCAGGGGAGCAGCAGGGCCGCACCCGTGGCCAGAGCAGCTGGTGATGGGGAGAGGGAGGCGGGAGAAAGGTTGAGGGAGGCGGGACAGTGTTTGCCTTGGGGAGTCCCAGCGGGCCTGTCAGGGAGGGTAGTTGTCCAGCTCCCGGGGAGAGGGAGGCGGGAGAAAGGTTGAGGGAGGCGGGACAGTGTTTGCCTTGGGGAGTCCCAGCGGGCCTGTCAGGGAGGGTAGTTGTCCAGCTCCCAGACTGCCCAGCAAGGCCCAGACTGGGAGATAAACACGGGTCCTTCCCTGCCTGCATCTGGTCGCTGTGTGACCTTGGGCCACGCACGCCCCTCTCTAGACCTCGGATTCCTCTGGTGGGATACAGAGATGCTGAGAATTGCCCACCCCTTCCCTTCCTCAGGCAAAACGGGGTCAGTGTGGAGGGACAGGGCGCCCTTTGGGGGGCAGGGCAGGGTTAGTCAATTGTCTGTTCCGTGAGATCAGGCGGTGCCCTGGCAGGCATGGCACAGCACAGCTGTGGAGCTGGCATTTCTGAGCGTGGACCCTGGCCCTCAGTGGCCAGTCTGTAGGGGGAGCTGTGAGATGCTTGGCCGCCCTGGCATAGAGGCAGGGGCGGGGAACAGGCAGCGAGGCACCCTTTCCTAGGCCCAGATTGAAGGGGGAGGCTCCGTGTCTCCTGGAGGGCCTGCCTCAATTAGGGACCCCGAATGTCTCCCAGGCCAGTCCCCTCCCTCTTGTATCACAGTTCTGGCTCTGCCACTCCTCAGCTGGGTGACCTTGGGCAAGTAACTGACCCTCTCTGAGCCTTCATGAAAATTCCTAACTCCTAGAGTGTCTGAAGGATCGAGAGCACGGATGCCGAGTGCCCGGCATACAGTCAGCACTCGGAACGTGGCTCCCATCTTCCCATCCTGCCACTCCCTCCTTCTCTCCTGCTAGGGCAGCAGTTCTCAGCCTGTGGGTCGCGACCCCTTTGGCAGTCGAACGACCCTTTCCCAGGGGTCGCCTCAGACCATCCTGCATATCAGATATTTACATGACGATTCATAACAGTAGCAACATGACAGTTATGAAGTAGCAACGAAAATAATTTTATGGGTGGGTCACAACATGAGGAACTGTATTTAAAGGGCCAGAAGGTTGAGAACCACTGTTCTAGGGTATGTGGTGTGGGCGGGCAGAAGAGACGGGGGAAGGCAGGTGCTCACCCCCCTCCTGGGTGCCCTCCACCTTGCCCTTCTTCTGCCTGCAGGTCCCGCCCAAGCACGTGTACCGCGTGCTGCAGTGCCAGGAGGAGGAGCTCACGCAGATGGTCTCCACCATGTCTGACGGCTGGCGCTTTGAGCAGGTGGGCTGGGGTGGGGGGCCATGCCCAGGGCCTCCCAGTCTCCAGGCAAAGTAGGCCCCGCCCTTCCTGTAGCCCCAGCCTTGGGTCTCATGCTGCTGCCCCACCTGAGGGGGCCCTCTTAAGTTACAGTAAACAAGATCTGCCCGGCCAGCGTTGCTCAGTGGTTGAGAGTCAACCCATGAACCAGGAGGTCATAGTTTGATTCCCGGTCAGGGCACGGGTTGCTGGCTCAATCCCCAGTGTGGGGTGTGTGGGAGGCAGCTGATCCATGATTCTCTCTCATCGTTGATGTTTCTATCTTTCCCTCTCCCTCCTCTGTCCGAAATCAATAAAAACGTATTTAAAGTAAACACAACCAGAAAAGGCCACCGTTGGCCGCAGATGGACCAGGACGAGAGAGGGTAGAAACCCCACCTGCTGCAGGGCGGTCCTGGGCACCCTCCGTGCTCACAGCAGCCGGGGATGAGTCTCCACAGCAGTGTGAGCGAGCCTCTGGCCCCCAAATGACAACTCGGGCGCAGGAGTTGCGGTCCCCATAGGTGAGCAGAGCCCACCTGGGGCCAACACCTCCGGGAGCAATTCCATACGCACAGCTGCGGGGTCCCGGCCGGTGACATGCCCAGTCATGGTCACCTGCGCATTAAGAGAAGCACAGAGCAGTGGCTCCGCCGGAGGAATTCATAGTGACCCCTCGTTCCTCCCAGGCCAGAGGCAGGCTTCCCGGCGGGGACTTCTCATCCTAAGTGGTGTTGGCTTAGTCACAAAGCAGATGTCCCGCCTGTCTCAGGTTCCAGAGGGACAGACCAGTGCTAGCCTGAGGTCAGGTTGACCCGTAGAAAAGGAGAGGGTTTGGCTAGCCCTGTATCCACACCCACACGCGGGCTCCCTGGTGGAGGTTGGAGAAGGGAGAAGGCTGGGCTTCCTGGGGGGCGGGGCCGTGTGGAGGAAGGAGCCCCCTCCAGGAGCCAGAGGCCTGATTCACATCTAGGCCTCACCAGGGGCACGCGGTGTGATGAAGCAAGTCGCCTGTCCACCCTGCGCCTCAGTTTTCTACCCTGTGCTGTAGCACTGTAATGAGATGAGGAGGACCACTGACCAAGTCCCTCGTGCGGGGGGGACTCTAGCCATTGAAAGGAGCTGACATCATGCAAATCATTAGACGTAGTTCAGTCTGTAAGACCCCAGAGAGGCCTTGGGTCTCAGGTTCTGACTCCTGTCCACTCGTCCTGGCTGTGGGCCTTCCAGCAGGGCACCCCCTCCCCAAGCCTCGTCTGTGGATCGGCTGGCACGTCCTCTGTTCCTGGGGCTGAGGGAGGCCTGCCAGGTGCAGGGCCTTTGTCAGCCAGAGGGGCCGGTGGGTGTAGGGCTGCCCTGGAGCGCCCACGGGAGTCCGGGGCCATTGCATGTGTTCTCAGAGGCCGAACCAGCAGGTCTGGGGGCGACTGGTCTGGCCTGAGCAGTGGGCGACCTGTCCTACCTCTGCTTCCAAGAGTGAACCGAAGATTCTGTGGGGCCCCCTCCTGCCCGCCTGGTCCCAGGGCTGCGGCAGCCTCATCTGGCACAGAGGGCAGCCTGCCCATGAGGCCTGCTTTTAGGAGCGGCCTGCTAGGGCTGGGCCGGGCCGGGTGGGGCTGCGGGAGGAGCAGCAGTGCTGCCATGGCCTTCCTCCAGGGACAGGCCCAGCCCGGCCAGGGCGGCTGGTCTGAAAGCTCACCAGAGGCACGGGGGGAGGGCAGAGACTGGACTTGCAGCCCAGAGCTGCTCTCTCAAATCCCGGAAACCCAGGGATGCATCTGAGCAGAACAGCCAGATCAGGACACAAGTTGATATTTTTTTTTAATCCTCACCTGAGGGTATTTTTTCCATTGATTGATAGAGAGTGTGTAAGGGAGGGAGAGGGGACAGGGGAAAAGAGAGAGAAACATTGCTGTGAGAGAGACACATCCGTTGGTTGCTTTCCACATGCGCCCCAACCAGGGGCTGGGGGTTGAACCTGCCCCCGAAGTACTTGCCCTTGACTTGGAATCGAACCTGACACCCTTCGGTCCTCTGGCTGACGCGCTAACCGCTGGGCACACTGGCCAGGGCACACGTTGGTGTCTTGACAAGTGCCGATGCCCACCTCCTCCCTCCGCACTGCCCCCAGCTGGACTGATCATCTCTCTCCCCGTGGCCACCCTGTAGCTGGTGAACATCGGCTCCTCCTATAACTACAGCGGAGAGGACCAGGCGGAGTTCCTGTGCGTGGTGTCCAAGGAGCTCCACAGCTCCCCCCACGGGCTGAGTTCCGAGTCCAGCCGCAAAACCAAGGTGAGCCCAGCCTCCCCGCTTCCTCCCTGCCCCCCTGTCCCCCACGGTGCCATCCCTGCTGCTTCTTCCTCCCTCCCGCTGCACACGCATAACCCCCCTCATAGTCCACGCCATCCATCCCATGCCACCCACGTCCTGTCTGCTCATCTGGCCACCCAGGCCCAGGCTGGGGGAGCAGTGAGATGGGACCATCCCAAGGCCCCGGCAGGAGTGACGTAGATGCCACTTGAATGGTGGCCACAAGGGGGAGGGAGTGCCCTGGGCCGGGCGTCTGGCCTGACGTGCCTCGCTCTGTGCGATCTTGGCCAAGTCCCCTCCCCTTGGCACATTCTTTGTGTTGTCCGAGAACTGAGGGGGGTTGGCCACATCCTCCCTGCGGTGCCATCGAGCTTGAGCTTAGAGCTTCTGGGATCCTAATGGCCCGTTTATTCCCAGGGGCAGGTCCGTGTCCCCAGCTGGCCCCGGGCCGGGGTGGGGAAGCCCAGTCTCTTAGCCACGCCCCTTTCCCAGGCGCCTGTGTTTCCACCCTGGCCTCTGAGGCACCCTCAGCTGCCGCCCTGGACCCCCGGCTGGTCACAAGCCTCAGGCGCCTTCTGTAGGGCCTGTGGGACAGGCAGCAAGCCGGGCGGGGAGCAAGGGGGGCCGTTCCTCCCGGGGTCTGTCCCTGTGCCTTGGAGACATATGAGCCCTGGCTTCCTGTCTGTCTGTCTGCCTTCCCTGGCCTGGGGCTTCCCTGGCCCACCGCCCCGCTCCGGCCAGTGGCTGGTGCTGCCTTGCAGGGGCGCACAGTGAGCCCTCCGCTCCTGCCCCTGGGCCAGTGCCTGATGCTGACCTCCCAGAACGGGGTGGTGTCCGCCCCGGGTCTTCCCCGGGCTCATTTCAACTCCTGAAATGAAGCCTTCCCAGGCGTCCCTCAAGGACACCCCCGCCACACTCCCATCCAGGCGCACACCCTCTCCAGCCCCCTTCTCCCCCTGCCCAGCCTGCGCCCTGTGCCAGCAGCCAGACTGGCCCTTCCTGTGCTGGTTTCTCCCGTCCCTTCCAAGGCCTCCCAGAGGACTGGCCAGATGCCCAGCTTCTTGGCTGTAGCCCTCCCCTCTCCCGGCCCATCTAGCCCACTGCCCGCCCTGTGCTGGGGCCCGTGGGGACAGCCGCCCGCAGGCCCCTCGCTAGTTCTCCACTCTTTCTTCCCTGGGTCCGCCGGCTGGTCCACAGAGCGCGGAGGAGCAGCTGGAGGAGGAGCAGCAGCAGGAGGAGGAGGAGGTGGAGGTGGAACAGGTGCAGGTGGAGGCAGATACACAGGAGAAAGGTGCAGCCAACCCCCGAGGAGAATGATTGCTCACACAAGCCGGAGCCTCCCGCCCGCTCCCTGCTGGAGCCAGCGCAGAACTGGGGGGCCGAGGGCTGCTGGGGGGCGGGCCGCCAGGGTTAGCTCAGCCGCTGCCTGGCACCTCACCTGCATAACCATCCCTTCTCTCACTTTCTCTTTGCAGCCCAGTCATCTCAGGATCTCGCTAACCTTTTCTCCCTCCCACCACCGCCTCCTCCTCCTCAGCTTCCCGCTGGAGGTCCTGCCTCATCTTCATCCACCTCTTCTTCCTCCTGGATCTCTGCACCCTGCCTCTTCCCTCTCTGCCCCTGCCCGGGTTTCCTCTCTGCCTGCTCACGCCTCCATCCCGGGGCCACCCTGGTCCCAGCCTCCCGCGCCCTCCACCCAGGCGCCCCAGCCTTGCATCTCAGAGCATCCTGCCTGCCGCCTCCTGCATCCCTCCTGGCAGCTCCTACCTCCTGGCCTGGGGAGGAGGGGTGCAGCTGCATCTCCTCTGGCCCTGCCAACACCACTGGGCACCTCTGAGGCGGGGCCACCCGGCCCCAGCACCTTGCCTCCTCGCCTCCTGCTCACATTTCCTCCTTGCAGGTTCCCGTCTGCACCCCTCAGGCCTGAGGCTGCGCGTGCAGGGAGGGCCTCAGCCCCTCGCCCACCCCCAGAGCGCCACCCCCGGTTTGTAGCTTGGAGCTGGAGGGAGGGCAGAAGCCAGGAGGGTGCTCAGATCTTGTTCCTTGGACTTGGGCCAAACTTCTGGCTGATTTCTCTCCCCTCACCAAAGTTTCTCAGCTGATCTTGGCCTTGGATGTGAGGCTGAGAGAGAAGAAGGAAGCTAGGGGTGGACACGGTGCCATCGGCCCATCAGCGCCCGAGCAGGCTGGGCAGGAGGGGGGGATGCAAGCCAGATGCCCCAGCCTCCCCCCTGCACACGAGCTCCTGCCTCACCGCCTTGGGGCCTGGGTCCCCGTCCCAGGGAAGGACAGGCCACACTTGGGTTCCCGCGGCCTCTGAAGAGTCAGGCAGAGCCGGTGCGGGGATCGGCGTGCGGCACGAAAAGCCCTGGTCCCCTACTTAGAGCCCCCCCCTCAACCTTGTCTGCCTGCTCGGTGACTCAGGGCGATGGCTGCTTTCTGACCTGCCTGCCTCGGCCTTGACCCCCTGGCCAGAGTCTTGGCAGAAACTGGCCTCCTAGGCAGCCGCCACCAGCCCGGAATGGGGCGCGGGGCCCCCTCCTCCTCCCCTCCTCCTGGGCTCTGTCTGAATCCACCTTCTCGGGGCCTCAGCCCCCTCCCTCCTCCCGGAAGGGACCCTGTGACTCACCTACCTCTTTCTCTCTCCCTCTCTCCCCACCCCCCCTCCATTTCAATCTCCTTTCTGTCCTCCTCCTGGCCCCCCATCACCCTCCTCACCGGCCCCCCATCCCTTTCCCGGTGTTCTGACCGCCCCGCCCCCACCCCCTGCCTTTCCCTCTTATTTTCTAGCTGTTACAAGCCAGAGGCACCCGGATGTGAGGCCCCAGATCACCTCCAGGCACTTGGGGTTCCGATCCGAAGTCCTTTATTTTTGTACCACGGGGTGGGCCCCCAGTTCCAGGGGGAGGAAGTGCTCTTCCCGCTGCCACCTCTGCCTACGCCTGTGGGGCTGTGACCTTCCCCTGCCTCCCTGGCGGGCCCTGGCACCCCTGGGCAGAGCCGCCTGCCTGTGGCCAAAGTGTGGCGCTGTCCAGCCGTGTCTCCCAGGCCCCTACGTCCCTTCCCCCGAGACCCCCAGCTGCATGGCGGATACAATCCCTCCTGGCCCGGTCACGTCACCTCCTTGAGCCTTAGCCTCCCTGTCTGTCAAATGGGCTCGCTCTCCCCCCACCTACCTCACAGGGTTGTTGTGAGGTGCAGAGTCTCTGAAAGCCCTCCCTCAGGGAGTGAGTGCCCCCCCAGGGCGGCCCCCTCCCCCCTTCCCTCGAGGGGGAAGGACTGTAGCTCCAGGTGAGGTTCGGTATTGGTGGTGGAGGGAGGGTGGGGCAGCCCTCGGCCTTCCCCCAGTGGACAGAGCCGAGGCCAGGAGCGGGCGGGCAGGGGCTCAGCAGGGGCAGTGAGGCCACTTCGGACGGACCAGGGAGACGGGAGAGGGGCCACTCCCTCTGTCAGGGCCTCTGACTCCCCGCAGGGCACCTCTCAGCTGTGTCTGCATCACCATGTAATAAAATCTGAAGAAACAGCGGCCTGGCTGCCTCCCTCTTTCTCTGGGTCCCTTTTGGGGGCTGGGGCTAAACTCAAGGTGGGATGATGACCCAAAGGTAATGGGCTTTTTCCTAAAACCCGGGACCCTGCCCTATTCGGCGTCACTCCCCATAAGGGTAGGGGACTCATGGCGGGGATCCTCTGCCCACACCCCCCGGGG